CTTTCTTTCTTTCTTTCTTTCTTTCTTTCTTTCTTTCTTTCTTTCTTTCTTTCTTTCTTTCTTTCTTTCTTTCTGGCATTTTTCAAATGGTGCTCTTATATCTGTAACCTATTATTTGACCAACTATGAAAAACAACTATGATATAATACTGTAATATAGTGTAATATAATATACTATAAACCAGTGGTTCTTAACCTTGGGTTACTCAGGTGTTTTTGGACTGTGACTCCCAGAAGCCTTCACCAGCAGCTGAGCTGGCTGGGGTTTCCGGGAGTTTCAGTTCAAAAACACCTGAGCAACCCAAGGTTAAGATCCACTGCTATAAACTACCATTATGTATATAGAGTATCATTGCTTCATGTGAAAATTCCTGTGGATTATTGCATAAATAGGGCTGCATTTGGCAAGATGGTTCACTGATCTAGAAATGAGAGGGACATAGAAAGAATGGTTGTTGATTGATCTCTGCTATGAACATACATTCTTTAAAGCTTCCAGGAGTTTTAGAAAGAGAGCCACTGTTTCATAGGAACAGACTAAAGTTGTTGCCCTGATTATTACATGACAATGCTATCTCACTTCCATATCTCTTGATATCCAAGGAGTGGAGGATAACCATTAGTTAGAACCCATATGGTAGCAATTGCTTGAAATCCCATCAACAATCATGGTGCCTGGCTCCTGTCCCCTTTTCCTCATTCTCTGTACGGAACCTACAGCTCTTGGGCATTTTACTGCTGTAGTTTGTACACTATGTATTACAAGTTCCTAAGATATGCAAGAAAGTTCTGAGGAAATGGATTTGTCCAAAAATGTTCACCTTAAAATATAGCAGTTAGTCTTTAAGGTGCCATAATGTTTTATTTTTATTTTTATTTTGTTTGTTTTTTTCTTGATAGGGCCATGTGGGTGTTCCTCTCTGTAATCTATCTCATCTTTTCTTGTCTCTACTTTAAACTGATATTTTCACAGTGGCTCACATTTTTCTGCCTTGCACTCCCATCATGTGCCCCCATTCAAAGGATGTAGACTTGAGGTTGCCTCCCACGTTAACTCCCCATTTCTAGAGGGATCCCATCCTAAAGTGTCTTCTCAATTTAAATCAAGAATGGGCAACTTTGCCTTGCAGAAGTGACAATTTTCTGTCCCTAGGATTTTCCAGGAATAAAACATACTCTCAAAAATAGCAAAACAGCTAAACAGCAACTAGCTTGAACACCACTTCCAGTTATGAAGAAAAGGCATTTTGATGTATGAAGTAAGGCATGGAAATTCTGCTGCCTCTTGAAAAAAGGCTCACAGGTACTCTTGCAATTCACTTTTCTTTTAAATCAGAGGTAGGCAACTTTACCAAGGCCAAAATGGAGGGAGACCTGGAAGTGGCAAAAAAACTCCAACAAACATAGAGGGCCATGGTAGCTACCCTTTGTCCACCACAATGTTTATTCCAAGCCTTCCAAAATATACAAAAGGGAGCACATTTTATATTAAATCAACTCTTCTTCACTTAAATGGTGACCAGTCTTCCTGCTGAAAATATTTCCAAAATTTCAATAGGGAGGGAAGCAGTCTCAGTGGGAATAATTTAAAATGTTGGCATTGTCCTTCCCTTCCATCCACTTTACTCTGCTTACACAATGAGGCAGTATTCCTGGTAACACTTTTTAAAATAACATCCTTGTTCAAGTAAATTTATGCCCTAGAGTTTTATCCTTTAGAGATCAAATTCCCCTGAGTCCACACATGCTGAAGAAATTCATATTATAAAGTGTGCTGATGTCTAATAAAATCTTCATACACAAATGTGATAACAGGTTTTATCTTTTGTCCAAAAACTTGGAAATGTACCAGGTAGCTGAATCCTATTTCTCACGCACTACTATTTTTAATATATCTTTTTATTATATTTTGCCAATTTGCACTTCATGGTTAATTAGAAGAAACCAATCAGGTTCAGGTACATGGTTTGCATCAATGTGAGTATGATTATACCATTGCATTCCCATGAGGTAATTTTTTATTTGGATAAATATAAGATATTGACCTGATTGTTGTTGTTGTTTAGTCGTTAAGTCGTGTCCAACTCTTTGTGACCCCAGGGTCTTTTCCAGGGAGTTTTCTCTTCTCATCAGATGACCAAAGTATTGGAGCATCAACTTAAAGATTTGTCTTTTCAGTGAGCACTCGGGGTTGATTTCCTTCAGAACGGATAGGTTTGTTCTCCTTGCAGTCCAGGGGACTCTCAAGAGCCTCCTCCAGCACCACAATTCAAAAGCATCAATTCTTTGGCGGTCAGCCTTCTTAATGGTCCAGCTCTCACTTCCATACATCACTACTGGGAAAAAACATAGCTTGGACTATGTGTATCTTTGTCGCCAAGGTGATGTCTCTGCTTTTTAAGAAGCTGTCGAGGTTTCTCATTGCTTTCCTCCGAAGAAGCAGGCATCTTTTGATTTTGTGGTTGCTGTCTCCATCTGCAGTGATCATGGAGCAAAATCTGTCACTGCCTCCATATCCTCCCCTTCTATTTGCCAGGAGGTGATGGGACTGGTGACCATGATCTTAGTTTTTTTTATGTTGAGCTTCAGACCATTTTTTTTCCACTCTCCTCTTTCATACTCATTAAGAGGTTCTTTAATTCCTCCTCACTTTCAGCCATCAGAGTGGCATCATCTGCATATCTGTGGTTGTTGGTATTTCTTCCAGCAATCTTAATTCTGGCTTGGGAGCCATCTAGTCCTGCCTTTCCCATGATGTGTTCTGCATAGAAGTTAAATAAGCAGGTAGACAATATACAGCCTTGTCATACTCCTTTCCCAATTTTGAACCAATCAGTTGTTCCATATCCAGTTCTAACTGTTGCTTCCTGTCCCACATATAGATTTCTCAGGAGATAGATAAGGTGCTCAGTCACTCCCATTTCTTTAAGAACTTGCCATAGTTTGTTGTGGTCAAACAGGCTTTTGCGTAGTCAATGAAGCAGAAGTAGATGTTTTTCTGGAACTCTCTGGCTTTCTCCATAATCCAGTGCATGTTAACAATTTGGTCTCTAGTTCACCTGTCCCTTCAAAATCCAACTTGTACTTCTTGGAGTTTTCTTTCCACATGCTGCTGAAGCCTACCTTGTAGAAATTTGAGCATTTCAAAACAGCCACTGCTTTATTCATTAGTTTTTTCCCCTCAATAATATACTTTGATTTGGCAGTGAAAAACAAAATTTAATTAGTCATTTTACAGATGCATTCTTCACATTAATTATTGAAATTTAGAGGAATATTGTGTTATGAAAAAAAATAAGTAGCAACACCATTACCTAGGTGTTTTGACACCTACAAGTCTTTTTGCCAAATAGCCTGCCAATTGCTTTGTGTTTGGGTGAGAAGTGGTTAATTGATGGAAAAAAGAATCAGCTTCTAAGATTTTCCCTTGATTGGTCTGAATGGCAGCAACCACAAGAAGGGCTCTCGTAGACCATTTTGACTCCGACAAGGGTGTTGTCAATATTCAGTCTGTTCTTTGCTATATAACATTTGGCAGTCTTATTCCCTTTGGCAATGTGAGCAGGAAATACCAGGTCATTTTTTTGGCATTTTGAATCATAAATACAGAAGCACAATATCCCACATTCATAAACTGGAGGCTTTTTGAAGAATTGGATTTCCTGTCTTTTTAAAACAGAAGTTTAAGTATACGTAAACTACCCACGAATTGCAACAGCAACTTCTCTCATGCTAGAGATTCCCAGAATATGATCACATTATTTGCAATATATGGTTATTTCTCCTGGACCACTGAGCCCCCATTTTAATGCCAAGCATTAAAATGGAATTTATAACACATTAAGATTTACTTCTACTATAGCTTTAAGAAATAATTCTTTACAGTGACTTGTACAGTTTTACTGAAAAAAGTGGATCAATCATGGAAATCCAGTAGGATTTTGACTAGTCCTTTCCCATCCCAGTCATAGGCTGTGGAAAAATAGTGGTCAAAGACCTGTCAGATTTTTACATGCATGCAAGAAGAATCACAAATTTGCCGTACCTTATTGTAGCTAATTGCCAAAGTTGAATTCATGTTGGATATGCAACCAAGTTTGAGACCCTCACTGTGGCAATTAGCCATGGCAAATTGTGAATTTTCTTTTGTATACATATATAAATAGCAACTTGTAATTCTGTAATTTCTGGATTATCTATATTGATCCCTAAATTACTTTTATGACTTTTGCCTGCTCACTGTTTTATGAAGGGTTGAAACTTCATTGGCTCATACGGTACCTCCATCTCATGGCTGTGATGGTGAATACAGAATATAGTTTATTGTTACAGTCCTTAGACCAGTCACACAGGGGGAAAACAGACATTTACAGTTTACAAAATTCCAAATACCTTATAAAAACATTTGACAATAACATTTCAAAATTTCAGGTACTTTGTAAAAAAAAAATTGGCATTTAATTTAAAATCTATTATCTAGTTACCATGGAATTTCCAAGGCCTGAATATCGCTATACAAAATCTGGCTATTTGATAAGTGATCTTGGAGTCTGAGTCAAAAAACTAACGACTATTTTTTCTTTGGTCAGTGGGGTGATAGTCTCCTTACAAGGCACCTCATAATTACACAATTATTTACCTACCGTCCTCAGATTCATCATACAGAGAAGTGGACAATCCAGATGCACACAATCTCTGCAACGTGTAAAAACATCAAACTTAGACATAAAACAAATAAACAAGTATACAACAAGTATAAAGCAAACAAGTATACAAGTGATTCAAAACCCCCCATACCAATACCAGAGTCAAGAATGGGGAAATTTCTGAAACTTGAGAATCACCAGACAGAACCCAACTACTGTACTCTGTGATGGTGCCTTATTTCCACTCAACCGATTTTTGAAAAAAAAAGGAATAAATCATTCGTTTCTAAAGCACATTAAAGTTAGTTGAAAGAGTTTGTCCACACTAAAATTAGCAAGGCTTAATTTAGTCATGTATGGACCTCACCATATTAATTTCAAGAGGATGTGGATTCTTTTGGTGAGGAATATATGCTTTTACAGACTACCATTTTGTGAACAGTTTCTATTGTAATTTTTCTAAATTTATGTCTACACAACTGTATTCTGCATTAATGTCCACAATGATTATTTGGAGTAATATGGAACAAACTTTGAAGTGTGATCTTTGTGGAATAATATTTTTTAAAGAACTGTAAACTTAAATTCTGTCCCTGGGATATTTTATCCAAACTGTTCTCTATAGTTCTATAGCTCTATGATGATGTGCTGTCAAGTCAATTCTGACTTATGGTGACCCTTTTCAGGTTTTTTTTTTTTTCAGGATAAAAAGTGGTTCATCATTCCCTTTTTCTGGGGGTGCCCTGGTGCTGTGCAGCTTGCCAAAGGCCACACAGGATGGCTGTACTCACAGGAAGCACAGCAGAGAATCAAACTCTCAATCCCTGGTTTCACAGCCAGATACCTAAACCGGTGGTTCTTAACCTTTGTTACTCGGATGTTTTTGAACTGCAACTCCCAGAAACCCCAGCCAGCACAGTTGGTGGTGAAGGCTTCTGGGAGTTGCAGTCCAAAACTCCTGAGTAACCCAAGGTTAAGAACCAGTGACCTAAACCACTGAGCTATCCAGCCACCTATAGCTTAGTGATATTTGATTTATTTATTTCGTTTATATGCTAACGTCCTCCCAAGATGGGAACCAAGACAGCTTGGAAGATAATTTAAAACAATATGATATGTCATACAATAATGTGATATAATCCTCAGGGCCAAGTTGCCCATTGAAGTCTTGTGCAGTGTATGCTGACAGAACATATTTGCTTTGGTACAATGCTGAATTAATTCGTATTTTATTTTCCAGAGAGAGCACCAGTTCTAACATGGATCTTCCAAACTTTACAACAGTGAATGAATTTATTATCACAGGGTTTCCCAATCTGCAGAAGAACAGAGAACCTATCTTTGTGTTAGTGTTGATTGTCTACATATTGACAGTGACTGCAAATATGGTTATAATCTTTATCATCAGACATAAACCTTCTCTCCATACCCCCATGTATTTTTTCCTTGGTAACTTCTCCCTGCTGGAAATCTGTTTTACCTCAGTCACAGTCCCAACAATGCTGGCTAACCTTATTAAAGAAAGGAATGTTATATCTTTCACTAACTGTCTTGTCCAAATATATTTTTTCCATGGTTTAGGTGGAGTTGAGTGTCTTCTTTTGTCTGCTATGGCATATGATAGGTATGTGGCTATACGTTCTCCTCTAAGGTACAGTGTCATTATGAATAGTTTTGTCTATTGTCAACTTGCTGCCTGGTCATGGATCATTGGTTTGTCTTTACCATTAATACCAGTCATTCTCATATCTCAGCTCAATTATTGTGGGAACAATGTGGTAGGCCATTTTTTCTGTGACATCTTGCCATTGCTCAGACTGGTTTGTAATAGAACCCAACTCAATGAAATGCTGAGCTTCTTCATCTGTTCCTTCCTTCTTGTCGGCTCATTCACAATAACTTTGATTTCTTATGCTGCTATTCTGGCCATTGTTCTGGGCATCCGTTCATCAGATGGTCGTAAAAAGGCTTTCTCTACTTTTGCCTCTCACTTGACAGTAGTTGGCATCTTCTATGGAACTATGATGTTCATATACATCAGGCCCACCCGAAACCTCTCTTTCAATATGGACCAGCTGGTGGCTGTGTTCTATTGCCTTGTTACTCCACTCCTGAATCCCATCATATATAGTCTCAGGAACAAGGAGGTAAAACAGGCTCTTAAAACAGTTATCTGTAGAAAATTAATGAACAGAGGTGACATGTGAATCTTCTGGAGAAGGTTGTGATGAACTACAGTTGAGGAACAATCATCTTTTTCGTCTGTATATCATATTTCGTATACATCAGGCCCACCCGAAACCTCTCTTTCAATATGGACCAGCTGGTGGCTGTGTTCTATTGCCTTGTTACTCCACTCCTGAATCCCATCATATATAGTCTCAGGAACAAGGAGGTAAAACAGGCTCTTAAAACAGTTATCTGTAGAAAATTAATGAACAGAGGTGACATGTGAGTCTTCTGGAGAAGGTTGTGACGAACTACAGTTGAGGAATATCGTATACATCTTATAATGCATCATATGTAATGTCAAATTGCACTGTCCTTTTCTTTTCGTAGAACAATATTATCACTACTCCATAACATAACTGGCTATGTTGCAATGCAGTTTGACATGCAGAACTGATGTATACATTGCTTGCATGTGTTTATAGTGGGAGTTTTCCTGTGAAAGATTTGCATCTATTTTCAGAAAACTTTTGGTATGTTTAAGAAATAAGATCTTAATAGGTCCACTCATTGACCTAGTCATTCATTGACCCACTGATATCAATGTGACAAGTTAGTCGCAACTAACTAGTCCCACTAATTTCAGTGGCTCAAATCTGACTGAAAAATTAGGTTCTTGGTGTCAAGTCTGTTGGCATAAATCTCAGCTGCAAAGTAGCACAACTAAAGAAGGCAGAACCAGCATTTGCTACTGTGTATGAAATCATTAAACTGATGTTCAACCGTAGATGCTTACACTGACTTATTAACATATGGAAATTTCCACCTAGACTTTTGCCAATGAAGTTATACCAGCAGATGTAAGTAACAGGATTCAGTTCCATAGATCTACTTTTAACCACTCTTCACTAAGTATGGTTAAACATATATCCACCCATTGCACTGCCACTGGCAATCTAACAATTCACTGATAAGCTATTGCAACTCAGCGTGTAATTAGTAATTGTCTTGTATTTCAGTTGAATAATTAAATCCTACATATTCCATTAATTCTACTGCATGTAATAAATGTATTCTGAGGATAAATGTATAATGATGATAAACATATCAACCATATAGCAGACGTGCTTGCATAGACCAAGCCAGTACTTTGATCAAATGGCTATAATTCCTCACCTCTTCTAAAAATGTTTATATTTATCACTGTTGACTCTGGACTACTATTTACTATATATAATCTATTGGTTTCTGCCAGACTGGCTGCATTTAGCTATGTGTCTAGGACATCTGGCCAATGATAATGAATTTTTTTATCACCTAGACCTAGTGAAAGAAGCTAGTCTTATCACAACTAGAGAGTGGGGATAATGAAAACCAACCTTAATTGATAAAAACTGGAAACTTATGTGATTTAGGCATACAGTTCACCAATCTCCTATAAGCATGTAAAAATCTAGGTACAAATATATAATTATCAGGGGATCTATTACAGAGTCATATTTTAATAACCCAGTTAGAGGACTGAAGAAGCATTTCTCAAATACATTTTATTTTTTTCCAGAACTCCCTTATGTCTCATAAGCTCTCCTATGAAAATTATGTGCACAATCTTCATTCTCAAGAGATTTCATCTTGCGATCAAAAGAATGTATTTCTTTAATAATCTTCATTCATTTCTTCTTGTTCTCCTTCACCTCCATGTACTTTTAGCTATCTCTCTGTATATGCGTATTGGCCACTGTTCAGGAAGGTTTGCCCTAATTCATTGGCTGGGGGTTCCAAAACAGAACACAGGGTCTATCTTTATAACAATAAACTATTGCTTTCAAAAGCAGGAGGGTCACTAACAGGTTCACTAACACACACAGAGAGAGTATAGGTGTAAAATTAGTCTCACTGAATAATACAACAGGTTAAATCTGTAAAGCTTCAAGTGGAGAGTTCCAAAATAACAACAGAGCATGTTTTTCTTTATTTTTTTCCTGAACAGTGTATACAACAAATCCCAGAAGCAATGTCTTTTGCCTCATGTTAACAGTAATTACCAAAAGATCACTATTTTGTTTTTCTTTTGTTTCTCATTTAATAATGGATACTAATTTACATTCAATTAGCTTTTTATAAGAATTTACACTAACTTCGAAGTTTCTTCATATCTGAGATGGAAAGAATTTCAGTGAAAATCCTGGGCTCCATTAGCACCTCTGGGGAAGACTCAAAATTAAAATGGCACATGCTTGCAGACATATAGAACACCTCTATGTTATGTCATGTGCCATCAAGTCTCAGTTGACTTATAGTGAATCTAATAGGGCTTTAAAGGTAATTGAGATATTTATGAAATAGATCAATGAGCTTCCATGGCTGAGTGAAGGTTGAATCTAGGCCTCCTAAGTCCAAGTCCATCATTCTATCTAGTACATATAAATTGTATGGGCATCCCAGGAAATCTCTACGTATAAATTGTCATGTTTACATGTTCAAGGGTGCTTCCCAGACACATAAGTAATCTTACCCATGTTCTGAAAAGATACACAAATATATACTCATTTGCATCTTGCTGAGAGAAGTTATCAAGGCAAATTGGTCCCATTAAACCACACAGAGCTATTTCTCAGGATAAATATTTTTATTAACACATAGAAATTCAAATGTACATAGTAATTGTATTCAGAAGATAATTTTTAAATCTTCCTTCAAGACCGTTGGGAACACAATTTCATCTACTGCACTATAGGGAATCAATGTAGCATGGTGATGTAGAGTAGTTTATTATTCATTCATTCTTAGAAACCTTTATTGGCATTATATGGTACAAGGGAGTACATAGCACAGTTACATTCCAGTAATTTATTATACACACATAGCTGTGTTTGCCCCCTTCTCATCACCACATTCTACCTAAGATAGCTGCTTTGCCCTGCTTTGTGATAGGACTGGGCCCATGTTATACCCTCAGTCCTGAGCAGTTAAAAGAAAAAAAAAGGCAAATTACATGGAATAAATCTGATTGCATTTTGATCCATAAAGACTGGTTCAAGCACACATACATATATTGACAAATATTACCTCATGACCAGTTAAAACTTAGTAACGGGCAGGAATATGCAAGTTCACCACATAAACAATTGTGCTTTACATGATGCAGGATGTTTCTAAAGTTCTCAGGGTGATTTAAGATCAGGGATGGTTCATTAACATAAACATCATCACATAATCTTGGACTCCTTAAATCGTGATTGAGAATGTATGAACTCTGCTGTAAAATGCAAGAGTTTATATACAGAAGTAAGGCATTGATTATAGTCTTTATAATTTCTTCAACATACTTTGTCAGATTTTCTTCACATCTTTGTTGTGCAAGGTATATATAAGAGGATTTAATACTGGGGTCAAGGTGCTATATACCAATGGAACCCGCTTTGAGTTAACTAATGAATGAGTGGAAACATGCCTTGAGTAGCTGAAGATGGCACTACCATAGTACAGAAGAACAACAGTGAGATGAGAGGAGCAGGTTGAGAAAGCCTTTTGTTTTCCTCCCGAAGAATGCATTTTTAAGACTGTAGAAATTATGTATGTGTATGATAGACGTATGCTTAAAAAGGGTGTCCAAGCTATAAGCAAGCCAATATAAAGCAAGAGCATTTGGTTGAGGGATATATCCCCACAGGATAACTTCAATAGTGATGGAATGTCGCAATAGAAGGCATCAATTTGGTTGTCCCCACAGAAAGATAACCTGAATGCATAGACTGTGTGAATGGCAGAGTTGAGGAAACCATCAGCCCAGCAGGCTGTGGCCAGCTGGAGGCAAATATTTTTGCTCATGATTAGCATGTAGCGCAGGGGGTTGCCTATGGCAATATATTGGTCAAATGCCAGGAGGGCCAGAAGGAGGCATTCTGTGCCCAAGAAGGAGAAGAAAAATAAAGCTGGCACACACAGCCTATGTAGGAAATGGTGCTGTTCTGTGAGAGAAGATGATCCAGCATCTTTGGGACAGTAGTGGTTGTGTAGCAGATGTCAAGAAAGGACAGATTTACAAGGAAGAAATACATGGGGGTTCTAAGCCTCTGGTCCAGTATGGCTATGAAAATGATAAAAGTTTTCCACAAAATAGTGAACGGATAAATGATCAGAAACCCGAAAATAAGTAAAATGTGGATGTCCCCCAGAGCTGAGAAGCCCAGAAGAATAAATTCCGTCAATTCAGTCTCGTTTTGTATATCCATTTTTGTACATTCTTTTTTGTATATATATTTGTATATTCACGTCTAAGCACAAAACTGCTGAATAGCTCAGTGGTTTAAGTATTTGACTGTGGAGCCAAAGGTTGGGAGTTCGTTTTCCCATTGCACCTCCTCGACTCAATGATCCATAGGGTCCCTTCCAGCTCAGCAGTTCTACAGTTGATTGATTATGATTATGCTTATGTTTATGATTATGATCATGATCATGATGATTATGAGTGTGTGTGGGTGTGTGTGTGTGAGAGAGAGAGAGAGAGAGAGAGGGAGAGAGAGAGAGAGACTAAGCTCCATTATGACATCAGAGAGATGATTTCTGCCCTTTAAGGGATAAACCTAGAGGTCCAAGGCTTGACCAAATTTTACCATGTAGCTATGGCACCTTGGAGGGACAAAGTACAGTAGATCATTTATATTGCTGTAGCACTGAGTATGCTCCACAAATATAGGCAGGAAGTGAGGAATTCCTATACTTTAGAAACACAAATATAGGCAGGAAGTGAGGAATTCCTTCTACAGAGGGCTTGTGACAGCATGGTGTGGACCTACAATGTAAGGGATTTGCCCCATGGTCCACTCAAAGTAGAGCATTGGCTTTGGTATTTTAGCCAAAGCACATGGCTAGGTAGGCAGTGTTCACGATTGTTGGGTACGGAAGGTTAATGGAGTTTTGGGCCAGGGAGTGGGTCGCCGTCCTCAACACCAGAATCTCATTTTTCTCCTCTGTATTGGGATAGCTAGCAGAGAAGTGATCCTGCATTTGCAAGGACAAGCATGAGGCCATGTTATTTTGTGCCTCACCATTGGTGGCCTTTTTTGAGTCTTCCTCACCTGTTTGCTGGTACCCACTCCGTATTCAGGCATGACCAGTAGGGTTGAACAGGTTTGAGTGTTTGATGCTCTCTGTCTCCAGTGCAAGCCGGGCAGATTTGGTCAAGGCACACAGGTGACATTGGGGCTGTGTTCTATGGGCAACCTGTACTCAGTGCAATCCATGTCACAATATATACAACAGGGTGAAAAGCATCAGGGCACTCGTTTTGTCTTTGCTGATGGCAGCCTGCTCATCCAGTTCTGGAGGGTGACAGACAAGGCACTCCTATAAGCAGATATATAGGGGAGGCAATTTGGGGAATCCATTCCTTTTGGATTGGAGCCACTACCATTGTCATGGCCTTGGGGTGCACATCCTGCCATCAAAGAATTTGTTGATGGTCATACACAGGAGCAAAATGTATGTGTCCCCCTTCTGCGGTGAGCTGTGCTCTTTCTTGGAGGTTGTATTCTGCTTTTCTGTTAGTTTTGCTCCTGCTGGAGAAATGGCTGAAAGAGTAAAGTCATGCAGATGCATTGTTTATTGGGCCAGACGGCATCCAATCATCACCGGTGCTATGGAGCACAAGTCTCACTGGAATGGCTTGTAAATGGAGCATGCATTGGGAAGACTGGCTGCCTCTGGTTGTACATGAAAACATGAGTTAGGAAGCAGGAGACTTGAGTTTGATTCCCCACTCATCTATCGAAACACATGGGTGGGGTTGGAGTGGTAAAATACATTAAAACTGGTCTTAAATAATAGTTTAAAAAACAACTATGAACCATGGTAAGATATGGAGGATGCCCAAATAATACCTACCTAAATATTCATAAGGTGCAGAGGAATATCAAGTTCATGGTGGAAAATACTTCAACACTTTGGTACTTTAAAGAAATGTGCACTTAATAGTTTTATAATTTTTATTTGTTTTAAGAAATGCATTCTGATGTTAGAGTACTGCAACATTAATCAAGAGCTTTGCTACTGAAAAATAGTGTTTACATCTATAAAATATAACAGTGTGCGAGATTAATTCCATTCTCATTACACTGAACTGTTGATAAAAATTCCTCTTCTCTACAGTGTTCTAATTTTTTCCAGTATGGTTTGCCAAGCCTCCTTCACATCCTTGTTGCGCAAAGTATATATAACAGGATTCAGTAGTGGAGTCAAGATACTGTACATCAGGGGGATTAGCTTTGTATTCAGAGATGTTTGGGAGGAAATAGGTCTCAAGTAAGTGAAAACACAACTGCCATAATAGAGAATAACTACAGTGAGATGTGAAAAGCATGTGGAGAAAGCTTTTTGCTTACTTTCATTGGAACCTATCTTCAAGACCGTTAAAATAATAGAAGCATATGATAAAAGGATGCAGAAAAAGGGTGTCCAAGCTATGAATAAGCCAATGGTTAGTAGGAGTCTTTGGTTGAGGGAAATGTCTCCACAGGACAGTTTTAGCAGTGGTGGAATGTCACAGTAGAAAGCATCTAAGTGATTATCTCCACAGAATGGTAACTGGAAGGCAAAATATGTGTGTATTGCAGAATTGAGGAAACCACCAGCCCAGCATGCTGCAGCCAGTTGCACACAAATGTTCCTTCGCATAACCAGTAAATAACGCAAAGGGTTGCAAATGGCAATATAGCGGTCAAAAGCCATGATTGCCAGAAGAAGACATTCAGTGCCCACAAAGGAGAAAAAAAAGTACAGTTGAAGGACACAGGCTGCATAAGAGATGTAACTTCTTTCTGTGAGAAGGACATCTAGCATCTCAGGAATGGTAGTAGTACTGTAACAAATATCAAGAAAGGAAAGGTTCCCAAGAAAGAAATACATGGGCGTTCTTAGCTTCTGATCCATTATGACTAAGATGATAATGAAGGTGTTCCACAGCACTGTGAAGAGATAAATTATCAAGAAAGAGCCGAAGAGAAAGAAATGTATCTCCTGCAGCATATTGAAGCCAAGGATGATGAATTCTGATAGCTGTGTTTCATTTTTTACCTCTGTGTCTGATCCCAAGGTAGACATGATGTTCTATAGACAAAAATAAAAGATACTCAAAAATAATGCCAAAACTGCATTGAGATTCAGATGGTTTTATAGTACGCTCTTGTACACTCTTGTCAATAAAAGGTGTGGATTATTTGACCCAGAAAGTCCATTTGCACGTAGCAACTGCATTCTCCATCTCATCCCTGTTGGAATTGCAAGAACAAACATGCAGTTTAAATCAAACATCACCATACTTAGAATAGATTCTATGTTTCTATTCCATCAATTTTCCCACTTTCTTTAGATATTGTGTGATTATGTTCTTGCATCTGAAAAGGTGTCTCACCATCCACTATTCCTAAATATTCCTTCCAATACATTCAAACATTAACCTAATTTGAAGATTTCTAACCTCCTGTGCAGACATGATTGAAAACCTTATATACGTTTGGAGTTTTGAAATGAGAATACTGTGCTAAGACAGTGATTTCTCACCTACATGTTTCATATCTGCTGCAGAAACCATAAAACTAATGTGTATCTTCTGTAGTTACTGCTCTATAGTCAACTGCTAATACCATTGTCCTAAATCCTAAGTGCTAGTGTTACTGAATCAGGTATATATAATTGGATTCATTAGTGGAGGGGATTAGCTTTGGAGACACAAACATATGGAAGAAATGGATTTCAAGAAAGGTGAAAATAGCATGGCATAATAGAGAAGAACCACATTGAGATGTGAAGAGTATAGCAAGCAATGTGGCTTACTATTCAACAGCTAGCTCAGTGGTTCTACCTTATTTTGTTGGACTAAATCTGTCAAAAATGAACCCAACTCTTGGTCTCATATAAAGGCACTATTTTATCAATGTTTGATTAAAAATTCTTTTTGAAGAATGGAGTTTAGGATGCATGACAACAGCAAGTACTTCTGTTCAAGGACTTAGTCCTGATTTAAACCCTTGGCTATTGGATAAGTCAATAACATAACAACATATATACAGCAAGACATACCTCCTATAAAATCATGGAATAATAAAACCCACTTCCATGAACAACAATGGTCTTCCCTTTTGCGAAAAAGGGAAGACACACATACATCTCGTACACCAAAAAAATCAGATTAGCTCTTGGAAAATCTCAACATTTCATGCCAAGAGTTCTGTGTGGCATTCTATGGATTAACCCAAGGACACAATCAGACAACATGAGAATATCTGTACTGAGTGATGAAAACATATATGACATTAGAATAAAAATAGAGTTATAAAATTAAATGACTTTATTGTCCTGCAAACTACTTGGATCCAGACTAACTGTGAAGTCTTGTAATGTCTATCAGAGACAGTTACTGTTGAGTTGAGTTGGAGCTACTTTCAGGTAAGAGTGCAGAAGAATGCAGTTTAAGTTAGGCTACCATCATGGGTACATTTCAGTAATGAGTTATGACCCATTAAATGGGTTTTGATAATGTGTTCAATATGAGCTAATAGTATGGCCAATGGAAAATACTTTAATATCATATAAAACTCTCCTTTTCTTACCTGTACAGAAAGTGAAGAAATGTTCTTCTTCCATATTGTTAATGTTCGTCATGTACTGTGTATTGGCTGCACATTTGATATTTATATACATATTTTCCAAGGTACCACTGGGAATTTTTGCCCCAAATGTATCTTTACACAAGCAATATTCCCTGAAGTGTTTCAAAGGCTCAAAGCTTATAAAGAATATTATAACTAAATTACACAGAATAGCTTTGTGTTTTTTATGAAAAATAAATAAATTAAGATTTGTGTGCTGAGTAAGTCAGTGTACATCTAATGCTATTAGTTCTATATATGAGAACTAAGACACTGAGTAAGTCAGTGTACATCTAATGCTATATATGAGAATTAAGACGTTGTATGGTGAGAAAGACTCCCTGTTAGGTTAGCAAGAAGAGACTATGGTCACATAAATGAAAAACTGCCACCAAAATCTAGGTATGGGACATGTATCTTCAGAACATGTTTGCCCAGATGTATGATGAATCATGAATAATAGGTGCTAGTGAAAATGCCAATAGGAGCAGCTTGGGGAACAAGGCACAGGGCATCTTACCTGAAAACTGCACGGAAACACCCACTCATGAATCATCTATGCCATCTACCTAACCCACCATTCAGCTAGGACTATCTTTAGACACAATTCCAAATTGCTTGAAAGAGCTAGGTATGTACAGTGGTGCCCCGGATAGCGACGATAATCCATTCCGGATAAATCGTTGCTATCTGGAAACATCGCTATATGTATATAAAAACCCCATAGAAACGCATGAAACTCTGTTTAATGCATTCTTATAGGGGGAAACTCACTGCTAAGCGGAATCCCCCATCCGGCTGATCGCTGCGCAGAGGGACCCGCGCGAGTCCTCCCATGGTGCAAGTTAAGCCCTGGGGGACCCCCAAAGACAGGGCATGTGGGTTCTGATGGCTTCCCCTGCACCATCAGAGCCCTGGCAAGGGTGCGCCGAAACCACCCGCACCCACTTTAGAGCACTTTGGAGGCTTTTCCTGACTGTGCAGGAAAAGCCTCCAAAGTTCTCTAAAGCAGGTGTGGGTGATCGTAGTGCGAAAAAGCCCCATTGGAACCATCGTTTTGTGATGGGTAAATTGATCGCAAAAAAACCATCGTAAAGCAATTTCGTCGTAAAGCGAGGCACCACTGTAAATAAGTTCTGTTTGCATTTACCAGATAATTGTTTGGACAAACATCTTTTATATTATGGATAGAGGTAATCCACTGGTGGCAGTGAGGGGAAAAAAGACTGGTACTGTTGTGAGGGCAGAAAAAGTAGGTGCTTCACAATTGGTGTCTAGATGGGCGGGGTATAAATTTAATGAATAAATAAATAAAATAAATTATCCCAGGGTGCAGAACATTGATAATGGGCTCAAGCTACAGTAAGGCAGATTTAGGGTGAATTTCAAAAAAGCTTTTTACAAATCCTCACAGCAGATGGATTTCTTGTTGAATCCAAGTGTAAAATTAACGGGCAGAGAGAGTAGATCACAACTGGTCAGGTCCTTGACCTGGTTTGGCCTTAGCCTTCTCCTACTATTGAGGAGAGATTTATGAGCATCAAGGTACTCTCTAAGCCCTACATTATATGCCTACCCTCTTTTCTGTTGCCACAAAAGGATCGGATTTGCTTGACTCTCTTTCCACACCTGCCCACTCATGTCTTATTGCAGATTCTGCAATAAAGTATGCACTTCATGTGACACAGTGCACTCTGTATACTGTAGATGTTGCTGCTTCAGTACAAAGGTGACCTCTTAACAGGTGGATAAAATTTATTTATAAGGTAACATTAATTGTATGCCTTTTGTTTCTGTTCATGGGGTTTTCTTGGCCAAGATACTGGAGTGGCTTGCCAATTCCTGCTCCAGATGTATTGCATTTAGTCAGAACTCTGCACTATGAGCTGTCCATCTTGGGTGTCCCTGAACAGCATAGCCCATAGCTTCTCTGAATTACTCAAGGCCCTTTGCCATGACAAGGCAGCAATACGTGAAGGGGCCTCATTTCACACATTAGTAAGATTATGCTTGAGGCTCCAATACTGTGGCCAACTTATGAGAAGAGAAGAATCCCTGGAAAAGACCCTGATGTTGGGAAAGTGTGAGGGCAAGAGGAGAAGGGGACGACAGAGGACGAAATGGTTGGGCAGTGTGATCGGAGCTGCCAACATGAATTTGACCCAGCTCCGGGAGGCAGTGGAAGACAGGAGGGCCTGGCGTGCTCTCGTCCATGGGGTCACGAAGAGTCGGACACAACTAAACGACTAAACAACAATAAAATTATATGCCTGATGTATGTATTGGCTTTGCCATATCACACAAAGTATAGATTAAACTAGGGCCACATCGTTCTTAACTCATTTTTAAACTTTAATTTTCCCTTCCACAAGGGGGCCTGCCAGAGTGCAAACAGGTCTGGAACCAATGTCAATCCTGCCCAACCAGTCCAGACTTCTCTCCAGTAAGTTTCTGAGCCAAAAGCACACTGTTGTACTGTACAGCACACTCCTGCCCATCTGTGCTAGAGTCTTCAGAGGCCGCCCTCACTCCAAGCCTCAAGACCCTAAGTGCCCAACATCCCCTTGGGTCCTTCTACTTCTCCTCCCCTTCGCTAAATCTCTGTTAAAGCAATTCTGAGAGAAGGGGTGCCTTGCACTTACTGCGTTCCTCCCCTGGAACTCACCTGGACCTCTTCTGTTTTGTACTTCTTGCAGACGCGACCTTGTTAACAGTGTGCGTATAAATTTAAGACTAGTAACACCCTTGCAAGTAAGAAAGGGATGGGCAAAAAACCACCTACACCCCAGATCAAATTAGGATGCAGGTCAAAAATTCCAATCTGGCCCAGAAGCAACCAGCTACTCTCATTCTTACTACTTTGTGTGGGTGGGTTACTTTATGAGGAAGGGAAGAGGATGGAGCACAGATGGGCAGCCTTCCTAAAGGCTCACCTGTAGCCCTGTTTGCCTGTCCCTGTCACAAGGTTCCGGGCGCAGGAGGGGAGTAACGACGCCCTCAAAATGCACAAGCTGGCTTTGCTCTACCGGCCCCGGAGGACGCAAGGCAGCACATGACGAAAAGGTAGGGACTGGCTTTTATTTAAAGAAACGCCAGCCCCCAAGGAGTCCTCTTTCGTTTTCTGGCACCCATCCGCCCACCCTCTTTCTAGTGTGTTATTTCGGTTGCCTTTTTGGGGCCAGATAGGAATTTTTGACCTCTATCCTGATTAGCTTTTGGATGGGGGGATTTTTTTGCCTATCCCACACTGGAGAAGGGTTGTTGGCATTCGATGGTGGTTATCCTCGGTCACACTGGTGGGTAGTGTGGGAAAAACTGGTTGTCTCGGTGTGTCCCTTTGATAATTATGCTAAGCCAACAGCGCATCAGACCTACTGGCTCTGCGGATCGTGCAATTACAGGGCCGGAGGCGGCAAGATGCACTGGGCCACTTTCGGATCGACAGTCATCAAATAAAGATGGCTCGAGGTCTGGGGGGTTTAGTAGAGGCTGGCGGGGTTCCTGCTATTGTCAAGACAGCTGGAACCTGGGGCCTGGGACTCGCCCATTGACTGATAAGGGTAGCGTGGGTGCCATGCAGTCCTTTCTACGCACTACCGCAGGCCCCCTCAATTTAGGAAGAAATTGATTGGTATAATCAGAATGGATTTAATAAAGTGTGGCCCATATTTAATCCAAGTCCCTGTCTTGCATCTTCATTTCAGGACCTGGGATGGCAAGTCTCCCTGAGCTCACCTCATCCATGCCTTTGTGGATGGTGCTTCTTCTGTAGCATTTCATGTGGGTTTTATATTGGTGCTTTCTCCTCTTTATTGCATGCTGATAGTTCAGCGAATGATGGTTTGAAATCCTTCAAATACATAAAATATCCAACCAGAGATGCATAGTACATTTAACTTGGGAGGGAAAGTGGCAAGGGCCTAATGTGCCTCCAACTAGTGAGATGACAAGGGTTTGGGTTGCACTGAATAATGGGCATCTTATTGCTTTATTTTTTCTTTCACAAGACATAAGTAGGGTTGCATGCAAAGTTCACTCTGTTCAGTTATTTGTTCTTTACTGTCATGTTGATCTGAACACAGAAATGGAAGCAATGTTGTGGCTGGAAATCCATATGTTTCTATACTTCTGAAATGGTCTGCCCATCCACCCCAAAGTGCTTGAAAATGTATGTTTGTTACCAGAGGGCACAAAAAGAACCCACACGTCTTTATAATTCTATCCTTTGGTTTTGCAGTTGAGATTTCTGCTTCCAGTATTAATATTTTAGTTTGTGTTTTCTCTTTATTAGATATTTTGGATTTGGATTCTTAATGAGTATATAAAAGCTGGGGACATATATGCCCTGAAAGCAGCCAGGGAATTCCTCAGCTCAGCTGAGCTCAGCTCAGCTCAGAGACTCTATCCCTGAGGTGATTGCCAAGGTTTAAAAGTCCCTAGGACTCAATCCCTCTCTTCAGAAGCACACAAACCTGCACAGCAAGCATCATCTTTTTCTCTACGTAGTTCTGGATACACAACACAAAGGTATGACTTCTAATGAAGTAAAAATTCACAGCAGTCTTTGAGATGAGATGAAACCATTTTGACAATCAGCTGATTTCTTTCTTTCTTTTTTACTTAGTGAGTTGCATGCTTCTAATACTTGAATTTAAGGGACAGACTTTTTTTCTTCTTCATGAATACCATTCGGTTTCTCTACGTAGTTCTGGATACACAACACAAAGGTATGACTTCTAATGAAGTAAAAATTCACAGCAGTCTTTGAGATGAGATGAAACCATTTTGACAATCAGCTGATTTCTTTCTTTCTTTTTTACTTAGTGAGTTGCATGCTTCTAATACTTGAATTTAAGGGACAGACTTTTTTTCTTCTTCATGAATACCATTCGGTTCTGGCTTCTGTTCCTGCTTAACACCCATCGGGAGTATTATCCTGTTCATCATATAGGGGAAGAGTGGTTTTACTGCTCTTCTCTGTTGCTTTGATAACATAGACCCCACAAATATGCTTAATAAAAAGGTACTGGTTTTCGGCAAGTATTGTCTTTTGTACAGCACCAGGATGCCCCCAGAAGCAGGTAAAACACTTCTGAGTAGTCTCTTCTTAGAAAACCCTGTAAAGTCATAATTGACTTGACTCTTCCTTCCTCCCCCACCTTAACTAAGCCCCATCATCACATCAGAGAGATGTATTTTGGGCAGGTAAGTGATAAACCTTACCATTCTTTATTTTCATATGGATGAACACTATGTTTCTGTGAATACAGATTGAGTCCATTCTTCCTTCCTTCCTTCTCTCTCTCTCTCTCTCTCTCTCTCTCTCTTTCTTTTATTTTTTTCTGTTCATTTCTTTATTTTTCAACCAACTACATAACACTGCTTGGTCTTGTTCACCTTATTACCTGCTACAACACATAGCTCCTTTTAACATCAATTTCTGCCCAAATTGCTCCTCATCTTACAACCCTGTCTTTTTTAAGGAGTATTTTAATTTATCTCTTATCAGTTTTTGTTTCAATTTTGTTTTAAATATATATATATATTATTTTGGGGAGCGGCAGTGTACTATTCTTTCAAGATTGTTCTGAATCATTATTCTGTCTTCTGTTGTGTTTGTTGCCCCATCCAGCCTTAGGTTTTCCGCAGGTTTTCTGACCATCCTTACTTTACTCTCAGACAAATGAATGGAAACATTCAAAAGCTGGGGGCCTAGGATGCAGCCCCTGGTCTTGATCAGAAAGTGGGAGAGGGGGTCCTTTCTCTGATCAAGGAAATTATTTCTGTTTTTCTCTCCCCAGCCATTCCCCAAGAAATCTCACAGATTTTTTATATATATTTCATAGCCATTTCTTTTTTTCCCCTGAGAAAAGCTTATGCAGAGTTATACAATTCCTGTGAAAAAAGCCATCTTTCCTGCACAAGATTCCCTAAAAAGGTCATTGAACTGGTAATAATTTGGCAGTTTCTTTCATAAAAGAAGAGGTGGAAATAAAAAGCAGGAAACCAAGGAAATCTTGTCTCTATGAGAAGTTTCAATGTGGTTCATTGAGAAAATTTTTCCAAGTATGTTTCACATCCCTTCCCCATGATATCTAGTGTTATCTATGAAATTAACAATTTCAGGCTATGGTGATGGCCAATTACTTAAGTAACTTCAAGCCTATGATATCCTTGTTGCTTTTATATCTGTAGAATATGGGTCTCTGATTAGCTGTAAATGTCTGAACCATAGGTTTATGAATGGCTATGATTCATCTATGATTAACAGGACTATCCAGTCCTTGTCTAGAGGTGAAAATTGAATGCTGAGAATAAGCAGCACAGCAAAGCTGTTTTCCTCATGTCTGTTTGTAACCTTTCTAGGATATTGGGCTGGCCACTGTTGGAACCATAATACTAGCTTAGATGGAGCCTTGTCTGAATACAGGAGCCTCATGGTACAGTGGTTAAACTGCAGCACAGCAGTGAAGACTCCTCACAACCTGAGTTTGACTGGGCTCAGGTAGCTGGCTCAAGGTTCAATTCTCCTTCCATCCTTTCAAAGTCAGTAAAATGAGCTTCCAGATTGCTGTGAGAGGGGGGCAATGTGTAACCTACATAATTAAATTCTTTATGTGCCAGCCTTTTCTGTTTGTTTAAAATATATATTCTTATGCTATTTTTTTTAGGTGTGGAAGTCAAAGAAACTTTTCACTTCACTAGTACTGCTGCTGCTCTTATCATTCATCATTCACTATCTTTGTTTCTAGAAAAGAGAACATGAAGCTTAAATTCTCTTTTATGGCACATTTCATGACTCAGTGAAACCATCAGGAGAACTCAAGATCAGTGAGACAAATGGCTAACCACAGCACACTACCTGAATTCCAGCTTTTGGGGTTCCAGAACCTTCTGGGATGGCAGACCTTCCTCTTCACTATATTCTTACTTATCTACGTGCTAACTATCACAGGGAATGTGCTCATCATTGCAGTTGTAAAGTTGGAACCATGCCTTCATTCTCCAATGTACTCTTTCCTCCAAAACCTCTCCTTCTTAGAGATCTGGTACACCACCACAATTGTGCCCAAGATGCTCAACAACCTCCTCACAGAGAAAAAGACCATCTCCTTCCATGGCTGCATGTCCCAGCTGTATTTCTTTGTCTTCTTTGGAGCAACAGAGTGTTTTTTGCTCTCTGTGATGGCCTATGACCGGTTCCTGGCAATTTGTGACCCACTGCATTACACAGCCACCATGAACACGGAGTTCTGCAGCCACCTGGCAATAGGGTCTTGGGTGCTTGGTCTCTGCACAGGGCTGTTACCATGTTTGCTGGTCTCCAGGCTAAGCTTCTGCCACGCTAAGCAAATCAGCCATTTCTTTTGTGACATCTCACCTTTGCTGAAGCTCTCCTGTTCTAATACTTCAGTAACAGAGATTAGCATATTTGTTCTCTCTATATTGGTCCTCTTCACTTGCTTTCTGCTTACCTTGGTATCTTATGGTTTTATTATCTTGACCATTCTGAGAATCCCCTCTGCTTCTGGAAGGAAAAAGATGTTCTCCACTTGTGGCTCACACTTGGCTGTAGTAGTAATATACTATGGCACTATGATCTCTATGTATGTTCGACCTAGTACTAAACTTTCTGCTGGGCTGAATAAGGTAGTTTCCATATTCTACACTGTAGTAACACCACTTCTTAACCCTGTCATCTACAGTCTGAGGAACAATGATTTCAAGGAGGCCTTGCAGAAACTAGTCAAGAAGCATATCCAACACAGTTTTTAAAGGGAGAAAAGGAGGTTTTAGCAGATATTAAGGGTAAGCTCACATACTTGGCTTTTACATTATGTTTGTATTTACCACTAGTTCAAAATTGTTCAAAAGAGCTACCAGGATATCAACAGGCAATATTATTACTAACAAATTGTCCATGTACATTGCATTTAATGATTGTTTATGCAAGCTACCAGGATATCAACAGGCAATATTATCACTAACAAATTGTCTATGTACATTGCATTTAATGATTGTTTATTAGAATCCCAACTTTAAAAAGGTCAATAGATTAATGACAAATTCAAAATGTGCAAGGTAAGTAAAAGAGACAATTTTCAGTAGTTAGATATTTCCCCTTGTCTTCCATGGCTTTTTGATTTTCAAACAAGCCAGTTCTTAAGTGGAAGCCATGGGATCTGCAGATTGAGAGGAGGACATATTTCATTACCAAACATCTCCGCTTATTAGAAACATAGTCAAGCTGTAAGGTGTGTGCATGTTTGGCCTGGATAAGGTAAAGAACCAGAGAGAGAGAGTTAGGACACAAAGATGGAGACCAATAGAACCAAAGGAACTATGGGACTTTTATTTCTGGCCATAAGCCCTCATTGTTAGAAATTCAACTCTTGAATTGAATGTTTTGAACTATGCTTTCAGTAAGTTGACAAAAAAAATCTGCTGCTAATTGAGAAAGTGTAGCAAACTTGGAGGTTAAAGAAGACTCTGGTATGGGGATCCTCCTGAGCAAAGCAGATTCCACACCTGTCCACTAAGTGATGGAAGACACATTAAGCATTCCATACTTCACAATAGGTGATAAGGACCATATATCTAAGGGGAAACAAAGAAACATCTAATGTGCAAGCCCAGCTAGCAACCTGCGTAAAAAAAATATATAAAAAGAGGGGTCCGGTCAACCATATTTTGTCTGCTGAGACCAAAAGGCTATTGGAACCAACTGCTTTTTTTGTAACTTGGGTAATGCAAATAAAGAATTATCTCCTTGTTGAGTATGTACAGTATGTGGTGTGAATGTGCTGAATGCATGAAACCCCTTTTATTAGAATTGTAATCAATAGGTAATAAAGTATATTCATTTTGCATTTTTAAATGTGTCTTGTGAGGTCATTTGCTGTTTAAGATTGTTGTTCTTGGGATACAAAGATCCAGTAATCACCTTTTTGTGACAAGCAGATAGCATTTTTGATAATAAAATATTTTCTCCTCCCATACATGGCTCCCATGATTTCTATGTGATGAAAATATGGGCTGTGTCAACAGAATTTCAGCCATCAGATTCAAATCTGAGAGTACTAATAATTTGTTTTTGTTCTTATCAATTCTGCAAAACGTTCTGATTTTTCACAGAAGCAAGACACCTGGTTTCATTTTTCCCATCCTCCCCATCTGCCAGTTTTCACTTTTTTTCCTTGAGATACTGCCAAATTCTGCACAAGTCAGGACTTTCCAAGGAACCTTAGCTGAAAAGATGCAATTCTGCACATAAACTGCAACAATTCCAAGCATATTGGTGTTTCTTGTGTGTGTGTCTGTGTGTGTGTGTGTGTGTGTGTGTGTGTGCGTGCGTGCGTGCGTGCGTGTGCGTGTGTGAAATCTCTCCCAAACACCCTTGTGTAGAGAAATCTCACTGTCAGGAAAGAAGAGAACAAAAGGCTGTAAGATACATGTCCTTAATCTTTTGCTTTGTTGACAGAATTCAGCTTATTGCAAAAAAAAGAAAAGAAAAGAACAAGAAAAAAAGAAAAAAGAAAAAAGAAATCTAATACATTTCACATAAAAAGGGCAGAACATATGGATTTAAAGACTCAAAAAATATTTTGATAGTCTCTTACGTCTCGTAAATTCTGCTTTATGGGGTTTCTAGTAGCTACTCTCACATAAATGAAAACTAAAACCAAAGTGAATGAAAGTCAAAGGGTGTAGATAAGAGGCTGAACAGTTCCTCAGCATCCTATAGTACAGTGGTTCCCAAACTTTTAGACTTATAGCTCCCCTGAGTGGAGGCAGCAGTGGCAGAGCAGAAGGAGCAGCAAGTGGTGAGGGGCACAGCAGGAAACAAAGAAGTTCAAAGGAGCTGGAACTTGAGCATCACTGCCACCACCAGAAGCTCAGTGAAAAAAACACTGGGCACTAAAGCACAGGATGCTATAGTAGGGAACCCCTACTATAGTACATAGAGCCCATCATCATCATTCATAGAGCAGAATAATTGATAGCCCCCTCTCCATTCTGAGAACAGGTGTACTTCTTTATTGATGGAAATGGAAAGTTTCAGTTCCATTTTTGACCAATTTGTCCAAATTCAGAAATATCATCATATCTGGAAAGAAGATGAACTTTTTTTAAAAAAATGAATGTGAAACAAAGTAAAACTGACTGATTTGTCATGAGGGTAGGTCTCTTTCAATTATAAGCTGGTTGTACTAGGCCAGTAACAAACAGAAAACATCTCACATGAAATATTAGGTAGTAAGAATATGTGAACGGGCTGTAACTATGGGTTGTAGCTATATTTTATTCAATTATTTAATATAGTGGGTTTAATCAAGATTTAGTAATCCTTAGAGTAAATCCACTGTCATCTGTTGTCCCCTTCTCCTCTTGCCTTCACACTTTCCTAACATCAAGGTCTTTTC